GACGGTTCTGAAACGTTTTCTTGAAGGAATATTTAAGAATTTAGATTTTTCACCTTCAATCATCTTCAAACAACAGCAAAGTGATTCGGGGATCATCCTTTAAATTTTCAGTCTGTAGCATTTACTTTCCAGTTTATTTATGTAACGTACAGTGTTTAGAGATTCCTAATATCAGACGCTAATTATATCAAATTCGAAGATAATTTCTTATTTTCGGATTTTACTTTTTTATTGTTGAAAAATTTGCATCAACAATATTAAATAAATAATATTATTTTATTGGTTAGCGAAATATCTAAGATGTTTTGAGATTTTCACCCTTTTAAGTTTATATGCGTAATGATATGTTTGTAATTTAAGTTAAAATTAAAGATATTTTGATAGTAATGTATAATTACTTTACTGAAATAGAAAAAAAAATATTTTTAAATAAAATATACGAAAATGATAAAAAAAAGTATTTTGAATTTAAACTGATGAAATATATAAATTTATTTTAAAATATTTAACAATATAGTTATAGTAAAATATAAATCAACACGAATCATAAAATAATATAATTAGTTTCTGTTTATTAATCTAATAGTAACACAATAATATAAAATAAAATAATACAGTATAACATAAATAAAGCCTAACAATAAAAAAATAATAAGATAAAATATAAATCAACTCTAAAATGAACTAATATAATTTTTATTTTTTTTTATAATAAAAATATTTCAGTATTATCATCAAAATAAAAAATAATTTAATCAAACATGCAATTCTTAAAAAGTAGAACAAATAAAAATTAAAAGTATAACAAGTTGAATTTAAAAGTGCTGAACAAAATATTAAACAATACTAACATTTTTAGGTTTGGAAGAAGAAGAAACTACTACCAATCCACAAGTATGACAGAAAAACTTGGCGGTGTAATCGACAAATGCTTCATCGAGCAGCCTGTGCTTGGGCGTGTTCGAGAAGCTGGCTGACGAGCTTATAAGTCCTCCCCGAAAGGCTCTTAGTGTGATCGATGAGTTGCTCGTACCTGCACCATAAAATGATTCATAAATCATAGAGACAAGAAGTAGGTAATAACGAACAAGGGGAGAGTGCTTTTTCTTGGTTGTTCGAATATCATGAATGAGGAATATTCATATTTGCAGAACTTACACATTCGGGTGGTTGGGTTCAATGACTATAGTTCCTGTCTTTGAATCAATCTTAGCATCGAGCTTTGAAGTCCTAATGAGATTTACAATCCAGTTCTCCGCTTCCTCATAATTCAGATTAAGCTTCTCTGCTAGAACGCTGTCACAAAGATTGCCAAACGGTAACTCAGACGGTGATTACAAATATGAAACATGAAAATGTTATGGTAAAGAATTTGGATTATAAAAAGCTTTGGGTTCTATTTTACAGATCAAGAGAAAACTATGTGTTCCGACATTGTTAATAGGACTAATGTTCCAACAACAAAAGAATTTCAGGAGAAAGCTTTGGGTTCTATTTTACAGATCAAGAGAAAACTATGTGTTCCGACATTGTCAATAGGACTAATGTTCCAACAACAAAAGAATTTCAGGAACATACCCCATGTCGATGTGGTGATGAATGCGACAGTAGGTCTCAAAAATGAAAAGACGAGCATTTTCAAGGAAGTCGTCTCTCAATGGAACCACCACAGTGCCCAAATTAGCGTCTTCAGCTCGTTTCCCAAGAAATGGATCATTCAGTATAACCTACATTCAATGAGTTGATGACTAAAATTATGCAATACAGGATCAATACTACAATGGCCAGTTGCAAAATCGATCCACGGAATAAAATTAGAATTTTACAAGCTTATACTTACTTCCCTCAAAGAAAAAGAAAGAAGAAAAAAGCATAGCATTCTCAATTAATTAAAATTTCCATTCCATGAATGAATTGGATAAAATTCACTTGGCTTTTAAAAGGTTACATTAAAGAAGGCCAAACTTAACTTCTTCGGGATTGAAAAATAAACAACTATGAGACACGAGAACAAAACTTAGTAGCAACAGTTGTAACAAAATGAAGTGACTACTTATTTAAAGATAAAACAAAATATGACACAAAACCAGGGAACTGCAGAGCAAACGGGTCTAATTCAAACATAAGTCATTGGTTAACTTTGTGAATGCTGGACTAGAGCAGATCTGCATATTGGTAAACTAATTCTCATGCAATTTTAAGGACCCAAGCAATATATAAACGAATATAAAATAAAAACTGAGCACATTATCCTGTTGCCATAAGTTCCAAAAAAACACGAGTTACAAGGCAATAAAGAACTAGGAGGGCTTACCTCTTCACACTCTTTCATCTTTTTTTGAGCCCCGTCAAAGTCATAGTTGACATAGACACATGCCAAAAACTCTACAAGGGGATCTTCATAAGAGTACTGCTCTTGCTGGATCACCTTTATAAATTCCTTAAATTGTGGGCGTCTTCGTTTGTTGACAATGAAGGCAGTTGCCAGATAACGCATAAGATGGGGAGCATTTGTTTGAATGGCATTCAGATACCTGAATTCGTTTTTAAATTAGAACATGCTGGATGAGTGGGTAATATAACACTTTCAATTGGTGTGAGCAAAGAGAACAGAAAACTACCAGGTAAGCACACAGCATACCGAGACATATGAATGTAACTAGTTGAAAATTAAGATATCGAATATCTCATACAATATCTTTTAAGCATATGACCAAGAAAACCAAGATAAATCATCCCTCAATATTACGTAGGCATGAAAATAAAAGGAAAACATAACAAGAAAATAAAAAAAGATGGTCTACATAGCAAACACCTCTGTTGTGAAAAGTCTTGTAATCAATGTCATCAACCAAATATATGAATAAAGTACGAATGGCAAAAATAAAAAATAATCTATTTCAGAGTCATACTTATCCTGATTAAACAAGTCAATTATCTGTGTTCTTCCGTTGTCATGATTGAAGAAGATGAACAAACTCCAGTGCATTAGCCATATCCTGCTTTGCACTTGATTCATCGGTGAAGAAAAATTCTGTAAGGAGTAGATGTCACGGTAAGTTCAATTAGCACATCAAAAAGGGTATAATTGTTAAAGCTACTAAGTGCATCAATCGACCTTAGAATCGATGATTTCCTTCAATCGATTAAGCTCCTCCAATGCAACATCCCAATTTTGCATCAGTATCTCTGCAGCCAATTTCCCCCACAATGCACTCAAATTCCTCTCACTGTTAGGGCACAAGGCCCGGTACTGATACAAATAATCAGCAGCTCCAGAGTAGTTTCCACATTCAAATTGGAATTTGGCATACTGATACAGTGCTTCTATCTGCTCCGGACCAATCTGAACAGCAACTTTGATTAAGCTTAAATTTTAATTATTTACATAAGACCGAAACATAACCTTTCGAGATTTTGTTTAGAACACTTTACTAGTCAATCACCCAACCTAATTGAGAAAATAATTGAAAAAAGTAAATGCATTTTTACTTCTATAAGTTTTCTTGAAGTAAATTAGCAAATGTGATTTTTTATTTACTTTTTTTTATCCTGATGTATATCAAACAAGGTGTTTGTGTAACTGAATATACAAAACGTTCTGAAAGCAAGCATATCACGATAACTGCAATTTGGTCATCACCTTATAGCGATCATTAAGTAACTGCAGATTGTACTGTTTATCAGCTCTCAATTCTTGAACAGCGTTTGGATTCTGCAGAAAAGCAATCAAAGGAGCTGCAGCCTCTTCCAATGCCTTCAGTCTACCAACGACCTCAACCCTCCTATCGACCATCTCTATATCATACAGAAAATCAAGGAAATTATAAGATGGTTTAATTCAAATATTAACATTCATGAGCAAAATTTGCAGTAAAACCCTAACTAGGTCCTCATATAAAAAAAAAAAAAAAAAAAAAAAATTCACTCAATATTCTCTCACACCTTCCACCAAGTCGACGCATCGACCAGGATCGTTTATAACCCGAATTTAATTCGGTTAAAGTTTTTGTCAGAATCGACAGATTCTCGCTGGATTTAAACTGAACAGTCGAGACGACTAAAGTATTTGCAGCCACTCGAAAAATGTAACGAAATTTCAATCGAAACACGTACCCTGCGGAACATCGTCGGACCGGTAGAGCGACTTGTGAATATCCATAGCATAATCAACCATGTTGGTATGATTCAGAAGCTCAATTTTCGCCTTCAAAATATCCTCATACAGACCACGCTCCTGCAAAAACTCAAGCAGCGGGAACACCAGATGCCTGTCCAGATGCGGTGCTATAAGCTGCGTCAAATCGTACTTCGCCGCCATCGTTCGTCGGATTAACTTATTCGGAGCGGCTCCGGCAGCTGCGAATCAAAGAATAGCACGGTTGTGTTCTGAGCAAATCAGAATTAGGGCTATCACTTGGGTTGAACAAGAGTAGATACAACTTACTTGGCGGGCTGAAATTGGGCCATATGATTAAGCTTAATTTGATTGGGCTCTTTAATTGAGGGTTTTGGACTTTTATATTGGGCTCAGTCCAATGTTCAAAATAACTAGAAGCACTTGTTTTATTAATGTGTGTGTTTTTTTTTTTTTAAATTACAAAGCAATATAAATAAATTGTTTTTTAAATATACAATTTTCAATATTATATTTTATTACAAAAATATATTTATGTTTTGTTTTTATTTTATAATATTATCATTTAAAAATATGGTACTCAGTATAATATTTTATATTAAAATATTTTTTAATCCAAAACATATAAAGAGTACTTGATCAAAATGTATATTAAAAAAAACATGTTTGTTTTTATAATATTGCATTTTGGTCCTACATTATATATATATATATATATTAATATGAGGGGAAACATTAAGGAAAGATAAATATAATATTCGTTTAAATAAGTATTCTAGTTTTTAAGTTAGGTGATTTAGTAATAGGCAATAAATACGGATCTATGTTTGCTGGATTAGACTCAGTAAACAACGCAGGAAAGATAGGATCTGCTTTGTAGAAATAGGAACAATATATTTGCATTACAAGGAGAGAAGCGCCCGTAAAGCAGTTTTTAGATCGGCCCATTTGAGTTCTGACTTGATGGCCCGACGACGTTGGTATGCTTCTTGGTGTCTCTGGACGAGTCTCGTTTGAATCGCTGCCTGAAGTTGGTCGCAAAGACTGGCTTGGTTAAGGCAATGTGTTTCAACCAGACGACTTCCCTCTTGTATGCTATCATCTATAGCTCCCAATCGTTCTTGAAGTCGTCGTAGTTCTTCAGTCTTTTGAGCGATTTCAGTAGCTAATGTTTGTCTCTCCTGCCGGAGCTCGTCTAGTCGGGCCCTAGCCACGCTAAGATCTTGGTTAGCCTTCTTCAAATCTGCTTCGATATGATTAGGATCTGCTGCCGGACGAGAGGAGGTCGCTTCGGATAATGGGGGTCGGATCAGAGGAAGTTCAGCTTGAAGTTCAGTGATCCTGGCCATCATCCGATCGAGAACTGGCGAAGCTCCCGACTCCAGGGCAGGTTGAACCAGTAGGGATATTGCGACTTGGACTAACGCCGAAAGGTCAGCCAGTTCTAAGTCGGCATAATCCAAATTGGCGCATCGTTCCACAATGGTTCTGACGGGTGTCGGGAGATTTATTCGGGTCAAAATGTTCATCTCCTGAGCAGCCTGAACCAGAATGAGATTAGCAAAGCTAAAAGACATGGCAAAATTGTTTAAGGAATAACGGCGGAAGGTTACTTGATCCAGGGCAGCTGTAGCCTCGGAAGGGGCCATAAGTTGGAAATTTGAGGGGTTGACTGGTCGGGTAATCGGACCAGCAACTGATTCATCCCCTGGTGGAAGTTGTTGGGCGGCTGCTAAATCCATACCCTGAACAGAAGATAAAAGTTTTCGTCACTGTTGGATGGGCAAAAATAAAATCCGAAAATGGATGAGAAAGGGTACCAACCGGATCCAGCGGGGCAAAATTAACAGAAGCTTCACCCGATCTTGAGGAGGAAATTTCCTCTACTTCATCGGGTGGTTGGACTGGTTCGGGTTGGACTGGTTCGGGACCAACAATAGGAACCTCATCAACTTGCTGAACAAGCGGGTCGGGTAAAGCCACGACCTGGTCGGGATCGGGCAATACCACATCTTCAATAGGAGCCTGGACCAAATATGTTTTAGGTATCATAAGTTTTATCAGGAGGATGTTGTTGAAGGAAGGTTTAGCGCTTACTTGTTGAGGTTCCGCAACTTGGTCGGGGAGGACAACAAGTTGGTCGGGCATCACCGCAACGATATCCGACGCTGGGGGAGGAGGTACCCTGCCCATCGATTCGCCTGGTCGGTGTGCCTACAATAAAAGGTTCGAAGTTGTTTAAAATTAATATATTTTGTTTTGTTGGTCTCTAAGGAATGTCAGAAACTATCTTTTTACCTCTAGTTGTCTGTGGGTCGGTTGTGTGGTAATCGGGACTATGGCTAGTCGATCGGTGGTCCGGACCATAGATGATTGTTCTATGATCGGGACGGCTGTCGATCGGGATGAAGATAAATTGATGGGAACTTGTGGCTCGGGCGATTGTTGGTGGGTCGGTTGAGACGTGGTAGGGCCAGTGGTCGGGAGCATTGAAGGATCTTCTGAAATAGACATATTAGAGTTACAAACGGGCAGCATGAAAATAACATAAGGAAAGGAACAAAAACTTACCAAATTGTTGCCTTAGATACTTTGGCATCCCGCTAGTATCTATTGGCAGAGAAGCCAGATATTCCTCGATGGCCTGCCTATCGATAGCAGGAGTGGCCTTTGCTTTTTGTCTTTTTGCTCCCGACCCACCTGCCGTAGGGTCTGGCCTTTTCCTTCCTCTGACTGCCAGTCGGGCGGAGCCAAGAGCCAGAGCTGGGGGTGGAGCAAGTCTCCCGACCAATTGGTCAGTCGAAGGGGCAAGTAAAGACCAGGTGGTCGACCACCAGGAAGGGAAATCTTCGGTTGTCGAAGGTTTTGGGCAGAACGGGAGATATGAATTCGAGGTAATGTAGGTGGTGAGTTGAGAAATATAGGTCGGGATGAGTTCGGGAATCACCAGACCCTCGGGGCTTTGAAATATGAGGTGAGGACTGGCTAATGGCCCTGGTATGCCCTGGCAGCAACCAAATTGCCTCGACAAAAATTGAGGTTGGTAATTGTAAGTGAAAAATGTTCTACGATTCTTCTTGTCCGACCTTCTGCTAGAAAACAAAGATCGGGGTTTTATTGCGGCGTCCCAGGAAAAAATAAAGGTCGGGTGAGGGAGAGGATCTGGGCGAGTTAAAGGATAGGTAGGGTCGGGATAAAGGAAGAAAAGATCGGTCGAATATTGTATTAAGGTTGTATATACAAAAAAACGGGAATTGTTCCGATCTTCGGTCAAAATTTGGGTTATTATAGAGTCGGAGGATTTTAGACAGGAAGAGTTCGGGGTTAATCTGGCTAAGGCATAGCCAATAGACCTATAAGGGTTAGGAGAAATTGGGAGGCGACCAAAAAATGCAGAGGGGAAGTATAGACGGAACCACAGTTCCAGGAACCAAAATGGTCCTGAGGCTGCAGTATCCGCCTTTTTGATATCTGTAAGACGGGAACTTACTCGGGATAAACCTTCAAAGAGGTTGGCTAGAAATAAGGTACCTAAAGAACAGAAATGACCACATGCTAGATAAATGGCTAGGTCAATATGAGTTGAAAGGACAAGTTTAGAAGGGGAGAGAATGATATATCTGTGAAAGATAAGAAGAAAGAAATGTAAGCTCAACATTCAAACTTTGTGTATATCAAAGAGGTTTAAAAATGGGGAAGAAAATATACCTGCAGAGCCAGAAGAGGAGGAAAGCAGTATGTTCCAACTCGGAAACAGGGGTATCCTCCTTACCCTGATATTTATTGACAAAGTATGTCCACCCTCTTTCTCTTTCAGGCAGTTTGGCCAGAGCCCAACCTTGATGGTTGGGGGGAAGTTCTTGATTCCCGAGAGAAACCAGAACGGGGTCCTCTCCAGTGATCGGCAAATGTGCGATCACTGCTACATCCATTAGGGTTGGACCCATTGGACCTGAAGGGAGGAAAAAGGCACCTGTTTGCGAATGCCAAAAAGCCGCCATGGCCATCAAAACCTTGTCATGGAGGTAGAGGGGTTGCGTCGAAAGGAGAATAGCTTTATCGATCCCTTGGGCTTTCCATTGATTTTCAAAATGTGGAAGGAGCCTCGCGTACCATTTCCGGTAAGCATCTTTTGGGTCGGTCAAGTGAGTCTTGATGCTATCTAGAAGGCGTTCCGGTTTGAACGCTTCATTGTTCACGGTAATGGGAGAAACTTGAACAATGACTGAAGTCATACGCTCAGCATCGGGAGTGGTAGTGCAGTAAGGGCGGATTGTAGGGGTAAGAACTTTGGAAGATACAAGGGGTATTGAGGGTTCGGTTCCGTCAAAAGGGAGTGCGGGAACGTATTGGTTAGCCATTTACGCGAGGGTAAGGAAAGGTTGAAGGAGAAAACGAAGGAGGGAGTTATACGAGAGCAGAAAGGGTTTCAGAATTGTGAATGTGTAAGTTTGAGAAGTTTGATTTGACGCAGCGCAGTGCAATGATCATATTGTAACCCTAAAACGTCACGTCTTCCGTAGTTCGAGGAGCGACGTTTCGGCGGGAGGAGGCAATTTGTTGAGCAGAAAATAATGGATAGGTTTTAGGAAATGGGCCTGGCAAGTTAGGTCATCCGAAATGTCCAATGGGCTTTTGAAAGTCCGAATATAATTTGCAGTAACCAGGTTGGATGAGTTTTGAATTTGTCCAAAACCGGTCGTGTGAATCCCCTAGGTCCGGCGAATGAGGAGATTGGACTCGCTCGGGACCAAATAGTTCGCACGTCTAAATCGGACGTAATCAGGTCGGAATCCGAGGGTCAGATTGAAGAAAGTAGGACGGTTGATAAGATTGGACCCGGTCAGGACCAAATAGATTGGATATAGAAGTCGGACTTAGTCGGGACAAATTCCAAAGGGTCGGTCATAGGAAGGTTAGGTATTCAAAAATAGTTATCCTATAGGTCGGGTAAAATGCAATTTCTGGCAGTGGGGGGTAGTTTCGACTGGTGAGCGGTTTTTAAAATCGGACGTGACGTGATGGTTCTCGTATGTGTCGATAGAAGTGGATTTTTTGGGGAGTTAATAGCGGTTATGGTAACCGACCGGATAGCGGTTCGAACCGTATCTTCAAGGGGTTATTTAAATATTCTGTACGGTAAGGAGAGGGCATCTTCAAACGACATCAAATTCAAGAGAATTGGTTTTGGGGATCACCACTTTATTGTCTATAGTTTTAATTTTTCTTATTTTATTTATGTATCCTACAGTGTTTAGAGATTCCTAATCTCAGGCAGTTATCAAATTCGAAGATAACTTCCTATTTTCGGATTTTATTTTTTATTGTTAAAAAAAAACGCATCAACAGGTATATTAAATAATATAACTGTTGACGCAGTTTTTCAACAACAAAAAGTAAAATTGGAAAATAGAGAAATATCTCCCTGAGATTAGGGCTTTCTAAGTAATGTAGAATACTAAAATTGTTACATATGAAAATTTTATTTATGTTAAAAAGCTTAGGATAAAAAGAAAAATGTGTGTAGGAATACACTTGATGAAACTGGCGGAGGGGCCCTGTTGGAAACTCAGGAATAGTAGATATATTTCTAATGGAATTGCGGGTCGGACAGGTCCTCAGGTCGAGAGGTCCTCACGTCGGGAGGTCCGGAAGTCGGGAAGTTCGGAGGTCGGAAAATCCCCACGTCGGGACGTTTGGAGGTCGGAATGTCTTCCGGTCGGGAGGTCATCCGGTCTGGAGATACGCAGGCCTGAGCTCTGCAACTCCGTAAGTGCTCAGGTCGGGAAATCCTGCGGTCCGACGGTCGTCGGGACGGTAAGTCCGTACGTGTGAAGGTCATCAGGTCGGGAATTACTGAGGTCGGGGAGTTTGTAAGTCAGTTGGCTTGCAGTTGGATCAATAAAGCGGAAAGTCTGCGGTCAGTCCAGAGAGTTAGATATTGAAGAAAGTGAGAATGACAATGTGGTCGGATGAGGACACGTGTGGACACGAGAAGTGTTGGCTGACCAAGGAACTGTGGGCCCCTACACAGGGCAACCGACTGCGGTCCCGGCTACTGAGCAACCGACCAGCTTTATTTGTCCTATCTCCTTAGATGGGCAGACTGTCCTCTACACAAACCTCTGCGTCTGTCTATACTTCTTCCTTGCCCGACCTTCCTCTTCATAGACATCTGCGCCTGTTCGACATTTTTTTTCCGGACTTTTGGGCCATTCGGTTTATATCCTGACCGATCCAGCATCCTACTGCCATTATTTATTACTATTATTATTTTTTTTTTTATGCTCAATAATAATTATATTTCTTCTCTATAATTTTTATTTTACTTTTTATTTATATTATCTTATATAAAGATATTGGATAATATAATATTGTTCATTATATATTGTTTGAAATTAAATTTATATATTTATTAATTGAGTACAAATTTCAATGATAGATTCAATTAAAATTAATTTTGTATTTTATATTTTTATTTTTATTTTATTTCAATAGTTGAATAATAAATATAGTTAATTATTTTAATTATTGTCAAATAAAAATTAACATTTAAATATACATGTATGATATAATACTATTTTAGAAATAGTTATGATTAATAGTTGATTAATTCATTTCTAAATATTTTAATTATGTATGCACTCGTGCATAGCACGGCTTGAAATGGTAGTTATTTTAATTATTATCACGTTATTATTTTGTTATGGTTAATTATTATCTCTAATTGATTTTGGTTTTGGATTGTAAATGTTTTCTGTTATTAGTATTTGTTAGGGTATTGAGTGGTAAATGCTTGCTTATTGAATACGAAAGTGGTGATTATCTACTTTAAGACTTATTCAGGGCAACATACCTTGCATTAGGGAATAGGCACACGAGCAAAACTTTCTATGTTGAAAAACTGTTACGTACGAAATTTAGAATTAGGTTAAAAGCCCAAGGTAAAAAGAAGAATGGGCCTGGCAATAGGGTTGATTGAACTGGCTGAAGGACACCGTGAGGAAATCAAGGAAAATAAATTTATTTATTTATTTCTAAGGAAAATACAAGACGGAAGGTTCTCAGGTCGGGAGGCCCTCAAGATAGAAAGACCTCAAGTCGGAAGGTCTTCAGGTCGGGAGGTCCGCAAGACGGAAAGACCTCAAGTCGGAAGGTCTTCAGGTCGGGAGGTCCGCAAGACGGAAAGACCTCAAGTCGGAAGGTCTTCAGGTCGGGAGGTCCGCAAGACGGAAAGACCTCAAGTCGGAAGGTCTTCAGGTCGGGAGGTCCGCAAGACGGAAAGACCTCAAGTCGGAAGGTCTTCAGGTCGGGAGGTCCGCAAGACGGAAAGACCTCAAGTCGGAAGGTCTTCAGGTCGGGAGGTCTGCAAGACGGAAAGACGATGAGTCGGAAGGTTTTCAAGTCGGGAGGTCCTCGAGACGGAAAGTCGTCGAGATGGGATATCCGCAGGTCGGGTAAACTGTAGGTCGGATAGAAGGCGGAGTCGGACAAACGCGGAGGCCTTTGATCAAAGACAGGGGGCGGTTGATATGGAGGTCGGCCCAAGTGGGGTCGGGCGAAGAAGTAGGTCGGACGAAGGACGAAGTCGGGCCAAAAGAGCGGAAGGTTTGTGGTCGGCTTAAGGAGTGAAATATAGGGAATTTTGGTCTGCTGGGGACACATGTCAGCATGAGAAAGGTTGAAAGACGGTTGAGAAGGAGACGTTGTAACCGTTCGGGTGACGGTTTTCAGTACAGTTTCCCAGGGAATATTTAAGGTTTGAATCATCATTTGGCAAGATATCTTCAATCAACTTCAACAAAGCAAAGTCAGATTTGGGGATCACCACTTTAAATTTCAGTCTTTTATTTTCCAGTTTATTTTCTGTACGTTACAGTGTTTAGAGATTCCTAATCTCAGGCACTAATTAATCAAGTTTAAGGATATTTTCTATATCTTTGAATTTTACTTTATTTTTGTTGAAAAATTACATCAACAAATTGGCGACCACAGTGGGAGCAAGACAAAATTGCTCATTCCAATTCCGGCGATAATTTCATACGTCTTAGATCCGGCCGAATCATCGGAAGGGTTATGGCAGGTTCACAACCGCAATCATCTTCGACACCGGTGGGAGAATCCGTTCCACCACCCATTGTGCCAAATGCCGGGGAAATCCCACAACCACCAACTGATTGGTGGTCTTATGTTCAACAAATGAACAACCAGCATACCTTGGTTATGCAGAATATGTTGCGTGAGCAACAAACGAACATGTTGCGTGAGCAACAGAGTCAGTTGCAGAACATGATAGATCAAGCACTGTCAAGGGTTAGTCTTCAACCCACTCAAACGCCACCAGGAGTGTCACCGTCCAGACCACAGGCAAATTTCGCAGGGCCATCATTCGTGGATAGTACATTCCCAAGTGCCACAAATCCCAACCGAATGGATAGGGGAAAATCTCCTTTGACTTTTCCCAACAATGTTCCACTGGGACCAAGGGTTACCAATCCGCAGCCGAGCAATACAAGGGAGGACAGGCCTGAAGGATATATACATGATCCTATTCATATTCCTGTGCAGGATCCGTTCCAAGTTCCTGATCATCAACGCTTTCATGTAGATCCTGACGAGATTGCACATATATTAAGGGATCAGTATGGATTAACTCCTCAGATGGCTAACCGCCCTGCATATCAGAGACCTTTCCCAGAAAGGATCATTAATGAACACCCTCTCCCAAGGAATTTTCGACCACCCGACTTTCATGCATTCTCAGGGGAGGACGGATCTTCCACCATAGAACATGTTGGTCGGTTCACAGCACAATTAGGAGAAGTTGGCAATAACCCTTTTTATAAGTTACAGCTGTTTGGTTTATCTCTTACTAGAACGGCGTTTTCGTGGTTTGTAAGTTTGCCTCCAGGACAAATTCAGACATGGGAAGGACTGGAGATGGCATTTCACGCTAGATTCTTTAATCCTTTACCAGTTGTTTCTTTAACTGATTTACTTGAATTGAGACAGTATCCAGAAGAAACTGCTTCACAGTTTATAGAAAGGGTGCGATTGATGAAGGGACGATGTCCTACGGTAATCAGTGAGAAAGAGATGACCAATTTAGTGGTCCGGAATATGCATAATCGTTTAAGAAAGGCACTCACTGCCCTGGATGTTGAGGATTTGGCAAGTCTTGCATCCAAGGCAGGACGTCTAGAGTCTTTGTTCAGAGAGGAAGATCAGCATAACAGGCGTAATAGAGGCCAACATATGGCGAGTATGGGAACAGAAACATGCGACTTTGATTTTAATCAGTCAGAAGAGATGGCAGCCGAAATCCTTTCTGGAAAACCGTATGTATGTCCTAAATTGAAGCCAGTACCAGGATCTGAAGGAAAGGAGCAACCGACCTTTGATAGTTCGAAAGCTGATGAAATCTTTGATATCCTACTGACTGATGGGCAGATCCGTATTCCAAAGGGCCAAAGACTTGCCACTAAAGAAGAAATCAAAGGGAGACCATATTGTAAGTGGCATAATTCTTTCACACACACTACAAGTCAGTGTACTCATTTTAGGAAGGAAATTCAAAAGGCCATCAAGACAGGTCGG